AGCATAAGAGCATACTGCGCAAGGGCGATGAAGGGACTTACTCTGAGTGCGAAGGGAAGAGAGCATGCAGAGTGGGGATGCGAGAGGAGTCCTTATATACTAAAAGGAACCGAAATTGAAAGTCTGCTAGAATGGGGAAGCCTGCCATAAAGAGGTCCGTGCGTGGGAGCACTACATACGATTGTCCAATCACTGTCTACGTATTAGCAGTGCCTAATCTAAGATGTCCACCTTAAGTCCATGCCGGGCGGAACGCCGAGCCAGAGCCACTAGGCGCTTCAACAGCCCGCTCGCTAAAATTGACAGAAAATGCGACAGAGTGTTACGCTACTTCAGAACCATGCCTACGTATATGAAAACGCCAGAAACTGACCTCAGCTTTTCTGTCGTCGTGCGAAGAGAACTGGGGGCTACGAAGCGCCCAATTCGGTGGCTTGCCCCGACGCAGCTTACATAACGAAAAACTGTACAGAAGCATCAGAGTACGCGGCATAAGTAATACCAAGAAAGCGTTCGTGCATGACGGACACGGGGTATAGTATGACATGATGTAAACGCACAAAGACAGTCGGTTGCCCCTGCGATGCGTACCGATAGTGATGTCGTGCTCCAGCAACTATCGTCACAGATGTGAGTCGGCAGTGGCTTCATACCAAACGACGCGCGGCACAGTCGCGCACGCATCACGCCGCGCTGGACGATCCGCCAAATAATATTCTCTCGCGGACACCGGCACCCGGTTCCACGCCGAGCTGCCGCGTGGGATCAGGCTTAACCCAGTGGCACTGTACCCGGCCGTGCGCGAGCGTCACAAGCCATCGTACCACGCGCCTGGAGGACACCTGAGCGAGGAGGAGGACGACCTTGCGGACGCGCTGAGCCCGGGTGTACAACCAGCTGCCGGGTGGTGGGTGCTCGAGCCAGTGCCCACGCGCCGTTCTGTGCAGCGCACGGACGAGACGGTGGGAGACGGAAGTGTACGTGAAAATGGACGCGCGCATGTTGTTTCGGAGGAGGAGGTGCACGCGGTCTACGTGCACCGCAGACGCAGATCAGAGAGAGATAGGGAGGGCAATAAGCTGGGCGGACGACCTGCGGACGAAGATTGGCGTCGGGTCTGCGTAAGTAGCGTAGGCCGTCCACTACAGGCTACAGCCTAGGAGCGCGAGCTCGAAGATTTCGCGATGGGTCCTCGGATGTTTTTGTCGCGTTTGCCAGAGTTTCGCTATTGCCCTCGATAGAACACTTCTCTTTTTACCGCTGGTCTGGAATAATGGGGCTTACCTGTATCCCTTCTCAGCTGTACAGTGCAAGCTGTCTCAACATGTTTCATACAACGAGTAGTCTGAGCACGTCGTCGAGGTCAAGCGTCGGTGCCAGAGGTACAGCGCTGGCATGTCTACGCCTGCCAACTTGGCGAAAGTCGCACCGCCTGTACTATCATCGCTGTCGTCATTGCTGGTAGGAAGTCGTGTGATGATAGGGCTTAGGTTGCGTTTATCCATTCGCCGGATGTGATGCAGGGTAAGGAACCACACGCGCATCCAAAAGACAGAGAAAAAACGGACGCATTGAACTCATTATCTTTTATCTATACAGTCAGCGAACATTGTATTCAAACAGAGCAACGACACCTGCCCACCGCTTCAAGGGGGGAGGCGTAAGACCTGCTGCTGCCCATAGAGACCGCACACGTCAGCATGAATGATAATTTGAGGGCGTGAGCTCGGATAGATTGGCGAGCACTCGACCAAGAACTCAAGATTGTGGTGGACGCGACACTGTGGCCAAAGTACATGATCTCTGTATCAGATGAATTTGTGCGATATAAAGCGTCGGTGCGAGCGGACGCCTGAGCCTGACATGGCGGAGTGGTTTGTGGCGTGCAGGGAAAGCATTGCATGGGCCTGCGGCGTCGAGGCAAACGGGTGCAAATCCAGAGCTGGGGATTTTGAGTCTGAGGCCTGAGGGTCTAAGGACGGAGTTGTGAGGTAGGTACATCGCATTCGCCGCACGAAGTTAGTAGGACAGATTGTTTGATAGACGCCAAGAGATTATCTTATCTCAGGACGCTTAGATCAAACGGATCCAACCGGATGTCCGAGGGGAGGAACTGACGAAGCGGTACAGATTCCCTACCTGAGGCCTGAGGAGCGGCATGAGTACTAAACAAGTATCTAGTAGACTCTATCGAATGATCCCCGCTGCGCGAACTACATGCTGTAGGAACGGAGCTGTTGAGAGAGCGCGCCTTCTGGAGCGGAAGACCCTTCAAAGCTATCAGGCATGGAAACTGAATCTGGGTGGTACAGTATCCACGCTTGTCGTCGGGGCGTGTGACCGTGGGCGGACTCGCGGGTCCGGACCGAGTTGCCCTCTACCGCCACGTGGCCGCCACAAAACCGTCGCTCGCGTACGATGCCATAACATAACCTACGGGCCAAGTTGC